GGTAGGTACATGATATGTTCAATCTATCTTTCACTGACCATAGTTACGATTTTCATGTCTCAAATTCTCCAATTTCACATACATGTGGAAAAACTGCAACCTACTGTCGACAGGAAAGGGAAGGGAAAGGTTGACCCAACTGACGATGTTGCCTTTTCATGTAGTCTTCAACTGCCATCATTTGACCTGGGTATCGGATACACACAACCGGATGATTTGCAATCTACAGAAATTCAGAAGTAGGTAGATGCTGTCATATCTGATGTGATCACAGCATCCAAAAATGTTGACGAAGAGGTATTCAAATTATGCTTTTTTTGGTGTAATATGCTAATCACACAATGTGTACATCGAATTTATACGAACTAAATGTGACCTTTTACAATTCACAGGGATCACCAACTCCTGAACTGGCTTCTGAATTACCAGTTAAGCGGGTTTCAAGGCTTGCGAGGATACTGAGGTCTCCATTTGTTACCGGGGAAGGAAAGGTATCGCGGCATGACGGTAATGTTATTGTATTTGGAAATTATAAAGACCATGTTGAAGAAGCTGATAAATTAGCATTCTTGGATTGGTTTCAGAGAAGGTATAAACCTAAAAACAGGCATGTACATTTTTCTTACATTTTCTAATACATTGCTCACATAGTCATGGTATCTTAACAGTCAATTTGTGGCAACAGGAAAAAGTTTAATGAGCACGATGACCAAATCAAATCAGCCTTTAGTATTGGCTTATACCCAGTCGGTCATAAGACATGGTTCCACCCGCTGATAGATGCTGAAACGTCTTTGAGTGGTTCGGTATGGTAACATTTATGTATCTGTTCACAACACATTTCCTTGTTAACAAGTCACACAACATTAAGAACCTCATACCACACCATGGACATACCGTTAAGCTGTCCATTGTCATAGAGTCATAACTTTTTAATGTTGTACCTAATTGTGTACTTCATGTTCAAGAGCACATGGATGCATGCTTCTACTACATTCGCCAGGTAGCGAAATTTGGGAAAGTAAAGTTTAGAGCTACAACGACGGATGCTTGGTTCTAGAACAAGATAAAAGATATATTTCCTGCTTTCCAAAAAGATCCTCATGTTCTGTTGTCGGAGAGCAGTTTGATTAAGGCTGTCACACGTCACATGATATCCCTGAGCACATCTTGGGCCAATATAGACTATGTGTTCATGTCAGTCCTGCCCACAATTAAAGCTCGCTGGATGCTGGGTCTGGTTGAATTTAGAAGCCATACTTTAATGCTGTTCAATTCAGCTAGAAAAACTTATCGTGATTGGAAGGTGCTGGAAGGTATTGAGTCTTATGTGAAGGTATTGCCTGCTCTTATGAAGGCGTTGGGAATTTCGAAAAAGACCCCGATTATAACGAATCTGAATGCAAGCAAATGAAGGTGACCATTGAGAGTACCCTGCTTCAGCAGACGAATAGGTAAGTATGTGACCAAGACTATGCGTATAACTTGTAAATTAATTAATTCATAGCATACTATATTGTGTTTTTTTACAATCATGACTGCAGGGTGTTCGTGATATTGTATGCATTGTATATCTTCCGTGATGGCAGATGTTCTATTCTCCATCAATTCGATGCTGCAAAATGTAACTTGATATCGCCTCGCTACTCTACAAACACCGGGAACCTTATGTGAAGAAGGCGAGACGGGCTTTTAAAGGGGAGGGGATTGTTATAGAATGACAAATATGAAAAAATTGGTAAATGAATTTTATGCTTCAGTTGGTAGCCATTTATATTTCTTTCATGTGGAGGTGTTTGTACTCAATACTGTCATGTGGATGTGAATATTATTTTGCAATACATCAGTGCCCCAACTTTCAGTTGTTAATATGTTGTTTGGATACACAGTTGTGCTTTTGATCACAGATTTATTTTGCAATGCTGTGTGTAAATAACAGGTCACGTATCGTGTATACCAAGTCACAGATTTAGTATTGCTTTTGGTTAGAGTCTCAGTTTGACATGACATATGTCAATAACAGGCCACATATCATATGCATAGCAGATCACAGATTTAGCACTCAAAACATATCATGCCAAGATCAGGTCACATGTCTAATTATATACCGAAAATTAGGTCACAGTTCATGTTATGTTGTAGTCGTGCTTTTGGTCACATAGTCGTGCTTTTAGTCATAGTTGTTGTTTGCCATGCCATGTGTAAAAAACAGATCACGCGTCATATGTGTATCTGGTCACAGATTTGGTAGTGCCTTTGGTCATAGTTTTAGTTTGCCATGACATAGGTCAACAACAGGTCACATACCATATGTATAGTAGATCACAGATTTAGCACTCATAACATATCATGCCAAGAGCTGGTCACAGTTTATCTTATTTATTGAATCTGTAAATAGACAGATATTTGTTCTCCACCATGTGCAGGTCACAGTTAATTTATCCAAGCTTCTATTTCACGTTTAGGTCACAGTTCATGCCTTTAATTGAATTAATTGTCACAATTCAAATATATTGCTGTGTATGGAATCCATAATAATCAATTTACACAATTCTCCGTTAAAAATAGAAAGTGCGAATATATTTCAGTGAGCATTTATTACTTTACTTTTTCAACATCATTTGTCAATTGATCAATTGAAACACATTTATTTACAAATGATCTCAATGTCGATATGCTAATAACAGTTTGAATTCAAGAATGCGATCTAACTTTGATAAGTCTTCATCATGTATTGACTTCCTAGTACAGGTTGGTACTCCGTCAATCGTTCTTATTTAATGGGACCAAACTTGAGCATCTCCTGCGGTTGTGACCATGTGCACCACAACATCCACATCTTACTTTTGGTTTTCCTTCCCTAGATGATCTCTTCCTCTTCTCAGTAGGTCTCCAGAACTCCGCTTCTGGTTAGGAGCTAAAATAATTTGGAATTCTACTTCATTGGGCACTCTCCATTCGTCTGGATTTTCAACAAGATATACCGAACTTTCGTAAGCATTTACATATGCATCCCTTGTGTAATAATAAGAATAATAAGCATATAGATCCCTTTTCGTATGTGCAATTACAGCCAATGCATGTGGACATGACATCAGATCGACCTACAGCATCCTGCAAGTGCATGTACGTTGCTCAATGTCAACAACAAAGGTGGACCTTTCATCGCTCACGAAAAACACTGTTTGGTTGGAAGGAGATGCATGTGAGAGTGTAGTAGCACCAATGGTATGTGTCAGTTTAAAGTAAAAAAGAATCGGTCACAAATATTCATATTTCAGTGCATAATGACATGTTCAGGTCACAAGACTTCATACTTGGGTGTCATATACAATCTATTCAGATCATGTGTTTAGCATTAGCAGACAAAGTATATAGCACCACAAACAAAGTATATAGCGTCAAAAAAAATTCCTAGTCACATGCAATTATAATTTGGACACATAATCACAAACGTACATTCCATGTCTCAGACGCCTATGATATAATCACATGCATATTTCAATTTAGGCCACATACACAAACTTCAGGATACATAAGAAAGTTACCCTCAAGTTTCTTAGTTCTGAACTCATTTTCCTTGTGACGTTCTCGAACTTGCTTGTCAACATCATGAAAGTTTCATGCACTTCGTCTCTATATTTATAGAACCAATTTTGTACTATTTGTCGCAATGACTCCAACAGGAATACAATGGGGTAATTCTTAGCTGCCTTGTGACCGCGTTTACTAATTCTACAATGTTTGATGTCATTATAGAGTATATGTTTGCCAACATATGTATTTGTGACCACTTTTCAGGGCCTACTTCATCCTGCCAAAAGATATCGTACTATGAGTATAGTATAAAATGATATATGTGACCACTTTACTACATGTGATAATGGAGTGTTGTAGTCAGTACAGTACCAGGTAATCACGAATCTTCCCTATAAACCCGTCCAGTTGTTGCATGTTGTATTCAAATTCTTCTAATGTATAAGCACGGACAGTCGAATTAAACGCCTGCGTAATATTTTGCCCTGATTTCCCATAATATGATTTTAGATTCTGCAGCAAATAGTACGAGCAGATACCATGGCAACTTCCCGTATACACCTATTCTATTGCTTTCTTTATACTGCCATAACGGTCTGATACAAAACATAATCCTTCTTTGTACCCATATGCATTTTCCAATTTCTCCAAAAACCATCTTTAAGATTTGTCGTTCTCATTATTCCCTAGACCAAAAGCAAGAATAAATATACCATTATTTACATCCTGTGTACATGCTGTGAATAGGGTACCTCTATAATGACCATTCAAATAAGTTCCATCGACGACAATTACGGGCCTACAATGTTGCCACCCCTGTATTGATACACCGAGTGCCATAAAATAATATTTGAACCTATTGTGACTATCGACCTCCAACTCTGTGACCGTACCAGGATTTCTTTGTCGAAGCATGTAGAAGAAACTTGGTATCCTATCGAATGATTCCATCGGATCACCCCTAATCATCTTCAATGTTTGTTCACGGGATCTCCAAGCTTTTGAGTAATTCAAATATACTCCAAAAGTATGTAACATATCACTGCATATTTCCTTTTGTGTGTATATGGTGCCAGCCGATGTGTACTTGTACTTGATGCTAGATGAAACAACTGTAGCTGATATTTGTCTGTGTGACCCCAACACCACATTTGATGCACATGTGTGACTACCAATCTTTCGAATCTTAAATATATTTGTTTTACCCCATTTCGACGATCGACATATCTGAGTACATCCTACCTGAGAACACCTCACCACATATTCTTTTTTATCGGATCGTTCAACCATAAACTCAAACATGTTTCTTATCGCAAAAAAAGATAGGCTCAATTTTAAAATATCCTTATCACGAAAAATCCTTCCTTCTTCGACCTCACTAGCATTTGCCATAGAAACAATCGTGACTTCATTGTGACAAATGTGACCTACATGTTCACTTGATGCTTTGCAGATGTCTGCGGCCACATCCTGCAATGTATAAAGCTCTCTGTTACGATGAGCATTATCTGTGACTACGTCAGATGGGTAATCTATTGCTGCATCGGTTATGTCAATGAGTAATGAGTATTTAGCAGGATCACGATCGACTTCTTTCAGCAGAATGTATGCAAGCACGTTGCTGTCATATATTATCCTGATTGCAGGCAAATCATCGTTCAGTACATATTTCAATAATACTGCTACCGTCGTCAGATCCAAGCTGAACTCTGACATAATCGTGTTTACAAGGTTTACATAACTGCATCCACGGTCTACCAATGCCAACGCTGACTGAGATCCATGCAACAAACATACGTGCAAGTATACCATTTCTACAAAATTGAATTTCAAATCCTCACATTCTCGATAGTTAATTTAATACTATGCATACAGTTTTATATAAGAATTTATGCAATAACAATAAGTCACATATGACTTTCAAAAAAGGAAGTCACATTTGGCGACACACAGGTCACATCTCAGTCCTTTTTACAATTTGCTTACAAGTACACATATGTCACATATGTGTATGGATACTGTTGTGTCCTGTGGTCACATTTTGGTCAAATATTGGAATAGGTCATACACGAGTACAATCAATGCCAATATAACATATCTTACAGATAATCGAAATCTAATTGAGGTTACATTTTTAGCACATACGTCACATTTAATCATCCACAATGAATCCTCTGTTTCTTCGTCTTCCAGCGTAAATCACAAAGGTCACATATGCTGTTCACATCTTTTGATGTTGTTACAATCTGCCACATTTTTGTAGTGTTCACGGACATTCACAATCGATGTTATGCTTGTCTAAGACTGGTTACACTCAATTGAGTCACATATCATACATGTCATTAACATTCCTTTGCACAATGTTATTGAATTTGACACATATGTGACCACAATAGATTCGGTCCCTGAAAATTTGACAGAAAAATTTCGGATCTTATCTGATGATGCTAAATGCGAAAAACTAGTAGTGAACAAAATAATAGGACCAATACCTGGTTTGATTTCTGTTATGCAAAAATCTCAATTTCTCCAAACGATTCCAAATCTGTGATACGAAACCATCAATGTTGATGACATCAATCATTTCATTTATGAATGGCGAATGCACAATTACCTGATTTTTCTTCTTCAACGATTGAATTGGGGTTCTACAGTGACTGGATTGAAATTACTCTGGATGTTTAATTTTTTATGAAGATTTTGTAGTGGTAGATCCCTATTATTGATGGAAACTACGCGGGATTATAGGAAAGTTACGTAACAAAATATATATATATATATATATATATATATATATATATATATATATATATATATACACCTGAGATCTGAATGTTTACTTTTTATACCTCAATTGTGAATTGGTGTTAACTATACACCTGACATATGAATTTTTCCCTTTACATATCTGATTGGCCCAATCCAACCCACTGTCGTTAGCCCCAGCTAAAATTCGAAAACGGCCATAAAGCAAAATTGTAAATAAACCTAAAAATTCTCGAATTTTGGTATCAAAATAAGTTCCACTTTTTTCCTTGATGGTAATGGCGAAATGACCTTTTTTATAAGTTGGAGAAAATACATTAGCACCTGTTTGAGCCTCATTTTTTTGCAAAGAATGCATTTTGAAATAGTCAAATAAAAAATAAGAAAAAATATTAAGTTTGTGTGTAATATTACTTTATCGAAGAATGTGTGATTGAAAAAAAAAAGGAAAATGTATTTTGAAAATAATGAAAATCAAACAAGGTTTTAGTTAACACTTAACACAAAGGAAAATGAGCAAGTCCATAATACTTCTTTCCTTCACC